ATTATTTATTCATAGAGGCTCGGAGAGCAAGGCAGAGAGACATAGGCAGAGGGAGAAGCAGGCTCCATGCAAGAAGCCCAATGCAGAACTCGATCCGGGGGACACAGGATCGCAACCTGAGCCAAAGGCAAATGCTCAACCGCTGAAACACCCAGGCGTCCCAATAAATAAAACCTTTAAAAAACAAAAAACCTGTGGACATTTTAAATAAAACAAACATATTCCGAAACATATTAAGGCAAATTAGCTAGAAACCACGGGACCCAAGGAATAACATGCTAGTGACGTTATCAAGAGTTTTTTTTTTTTTTTTGCCTACTATATCCCACTCTTGGAATGGAATAAGTCAGCAATGCAGAAGCACCAAAAAGCACAGAACCCTCACCCTCCCCAAAAAGCTCAAACAAAAGGCTTCCTGTCTCTTTCTCTCTCTGTCTCTGTAGACAAACAGCCAGGAAGGGATCATATTAGTAAGGAAAGAAAACTTTTAGATAGTACTCTACCCAGCTTAACATCACAGAAAAACTAATCCTACCCACTCTTACAATTGGTCAAGTAGGGAACTTAACAACCACCCTTGTGAGACTGAATCCTCCCAAGACTACCACTGGGGTAGTATAAGAGCAGGTCAGGTAGGTAACCAGAATTTTCAGCCTCACTAGATGGTAAACAGCATGTCCCTCAATGGTGATAAGGGAAGGATGGACTTCTACTTTCATCTGGCAGTAACAAGGAAACAAAACCTATCCCGTGGAGTGGTGTCAGAAGGTACAGCAAGGAGTTAGGAGTTTTACCAATACACAGTGGTAAGTGAGGCCACATTCACTGTGGAAATCAGGTAGAGAGTCATAATTTGCCAATACTGTTCAGCATTAACAAGCAGCCTCCCTCAAGTGTCAACAAAGGCCCAATGGGGAACATGAACTTCATCTCATACCTGGCATAAGGAGATGACACTCACAACTCCTCTTGTCAGGCAAGTTAGAGAAACCTAGCTAAAACAGGTTTATGTAAGATGCAAAGTCCCATAGCATAACACACAAAAAAATATTTTTTTTAAGATTTTATTTATTTGACAGAAAGAGCATAAGCAGGGGGAGGAGCAGCAGGCAGGGGGAGAAGGAGCAGGCTCCCCGCAGGAAGCCCAATAAAGGGCTCGATCCCAAGATGCTGGTCATGACCTGAGCCAAGGGCAGACATTTAACCAAGTCACCTAGGTACTCCAAAAAATGTTCATGTTTCAATCAAACATCATTTGTCATAACAAGACCAGAAGACCTCAAACTGAATGAAAAAAATAATTAATAGGTGCCAACACTGAGATATTTATAATTTTAACATCTGACCAACGTTAGAATTATCTGATGAAGATTTTATGGCAGGGGGATCCCTGGGTGGCACAGCGGTTTAGTGCCTGCCTTTGGTCCAGGGCATGATCCTGGCGAGCCGGGATCGAATCCCACGTCAGGCTTCCGGTGCATGGAGCCTGCTTCTCCCTCTGCCTGTGTCTCTGCCTCTCTCTCTCTGTGACTATCATAAATAAAAAATAAAAAATTAAAAAAAAAGGTTTTATGGCAGTCATAATAAAAATGACTCTGAGGGGCACCTAACTGGCTCCGTCAGTAGATTATGCTACTCTGCATCGCAGGGTTGTAAATTCAAGCCCTATGTTAAAATTTTTTTAAAAAAAGGATTCCATGATGGGGCCCTTGGGTGGCTCAATGGTTGAGTATCTGCCTTGGGGTTCAGGGCATGACCCTGGGGTCTTAGGATTGAGTTGGAGTTTGGCAACAGGCTCCCCGCAAGGAGCCTGCTTCTACCTCTGCCTAAGTCTCTGCCTCTCTCTGTGTGTCTCTCATGAATAAATAAATAAAATCTTTAGGGGGAAAAAAAGGATTCCATGAGCACAGAAATATAAAAAGCCTTAGCAGAAACTGAAAATATAAAGAAAAAATGGAAATTTTTAGAACTGAAAAGTACGATATTCAAGATAAAGAGCTCAATGCATGACCTCAACAGTAGAATTAAGGAAAGAGAGTAAAAGAATTCATGAACTAGAAGATGTAACCATGAAAATTACTCAATGTAAGCACCAGAGAGTGGAGAAAAAACAAAAATGAACAGACTCTCAGAGATCTTTGGGAATATAACAAATAATCTTAACATTTATGTCATCAGAGTCTCAGGAAGAAGAGGAGAAATAAAGTGGAACTGAAAAAGTACTCAAATAAATAACAGCTAGAAAAACTACCATTTTGGTAAGCCATAAAACCACAGAATGAAGCAGCTGAGCAAATGTCCAAAGGGATAATTCTAAAGGCATCTACCTCTAAACACAACCTAATTCAACTTCTGAAGTCTAAACACAGGAAACATCTTGAAAGTAGCAAAAGAAAAACATTTTATTTATAGAAGAAAAATAATTTGGGAACAAATTTTTTTTTAAGATTTTTTATTTATTCATAGAGACAGAGAGAGAGGCAGAGACACAGGCAAAGGGAGAAGCAGGCATCATACAGAGAGCCTGATGTGGGACTCGATCCAGGGTCCCTAGGATCACGCCCTGGACTGCAGGCGGCGCTAAACCGCTGCGCCACTGGGGCTGCCCTGGGAACAAATTTCTTATCAGAAACCACACAGGCCAGAAGAAAGTGACACAATAATAAAGAGGAAGCTGCAACGAAAATGAAAAAATATAATAAACTGAATTAAAATGAAAATAAAATATAATAAAATTTGTGGGACCCAGCTAAACCAGTGATAAGGGGAAAATCTCTAACAATGCACAAAGTGGAAGAGTCCCAAATCAATAATCTAAGCTTCACCTCGGGAAACTAAAAAAAGAACAAAATAAACTCAAAGCAAGCAGAAAGCAGATAAAAATAAATATAAGAGCAGAAATCAAAGAAATTTAAAATAGAAAAAATAAAGTCAACAAAACAAGGAGTTGTTTCTTTCAAAAGATCAATAAAATTGATAAACCTCTAGCAACACTGACAAAGAAAAGGAGAGAAGACAAATCACCAATATCAAAAATGAAAGAGGGGATATCAGTACAGATCCCGCAGACATCAAAAGAGTAATAAGGGAATGCGATGAACAACTCCACACATAACTGACAGCTTATATGAGATGAATTCCTTCCTTAAAAAATATAACTTACTCCAATTCACCCATTACAAAACTGGTCATAGCCCTTAACTTTTTAATTTTTTTAATTTTTTGAATTTTATTTATTTATTTTATTGGAGTTCAATTTGCCAACATACAGCATAACACCCAGTGCTCACCCCACCAAGTGTCCCCCTCAGTGCCCATCACCCAGTCACCCCAACACCCGCCCACCTCCCTTTCCACTACCCCCTTGTTCGTTAGGTGTCTCTCATGTTTTGTCCCCCTCACTGATATTTTCACTCATTTTCTCTCCTTTCCCCTTTACTCCTTTTCACTATTTTTTTATATTCCCCAAGTGAACGAGACCATATAATGTTTGTCCTTCACCGATTGACTTATTTCACTCAGCAGAATACCCTCCAGTTCCATCCACATGGAAGCAAATGGTGGGTATTTGTCATTTCTATGGCTGAGTAATATTCCATTGTATACATAAACCACATCTTCTTTATTCATTCATCTTTTGATGGACACCGAGGCTCCTAAATTTTTTCTTAAAGTTACTTAATTTTTGTTTAGTAATCTCTACACTCAAAATGGAACTTGAACTCACAACTCCAAGATCAACAGTCATATGCTCTTCCAAATGACCCACCCAGCCAATGCTAGCCCTGTAACTATTTTCAAATTTTAATTTGTACTTTAAAAACTACCAAAAAGGGGGATCCCTGGGTGGCGCAGTGGTTTGGCGCCTGCCTTTGGCCCAGGGCGCGATCCTGGAGACCCGGGATCGAATCCCATGTCGGGCTCCCGGTGCATGGAGCCTGCTTCTCCCTCTGCCTGTGTCTCTCTGCCTCTCTCTCTCTCACTGTGTGCCTATCATAAATAAATAAAAATTAAAAAAAAAAAAAAACTACCAAAAAGGGGGATGCTTGGGTTGGCTTAGCGGTTGAGCATCTGCCTTCAGCCCAGGGCCTGATCTTGGAGACCCAGGATCAAGTCCCACGTCAGGCTCCCTGCATGGAACCTGCTTCTCCCTCTGCCTGTATCTCTGCCTGTGTGTGTGTGTGTGTGTGTGTGTGTGTGTGTGTGTCTCATGAATAAATAAAATCTTTAAAAAAAATAAAATAAAATATATATTTAAAAACCAACAACACAAAGAAACTAGATAATGAAAATAATTTTGTGAAAGAATAAAGTAGAATCATCCATGTGACTGAAAAATCATCATGTACTATAATTAAGACACCTGGTACTGCCAGCCAGAGACAAAGATGCAAAGATCAACGTAACAGAACAGAAAACCCAGAAATACATCCAAAGATGCCCAGCTGATTTTGGACAAAGGTGCAAGAGCAATTCAATGGAAGAAGACAGACTTTTCAAAAAAAAAAAAAAAAAAAAGACAGACTTTTCAACAAATGGTTGGCATGGAGCATTTGGAAATCCACAGGCAAAGAGACAAGGTAAAAAAAAAAAGTCTTACCCTTTATATAAAAATTAACTCAAAATGAATCAGAGATTTAAAAGTAAAACATAAAACTATAATATTTTTAAAAGAGGGGCATCTGGCTGGCTAAGTCAATAGAACATGAAACTCTTAATCTCACAATCAGGTTCAAGCCCCATATTGGGCATAGAGCTCACTTAAAAACTAAATAAATAACAAGAAAACACAGGAAAAAAATCTTTGGGATTTAAGATTGGGTACAGGGTTATTAAGTTTGATAACAAAAGTATGATCCATAAAAGAATAAATTTATAAATTGTACTTCATCAAAAATAAAAACTTTGCTCCAATTTGGGATAAAATAAGAGCAAATCATGTACTTGGCAAAGAGCACATAGAATATATACAGAACTGTCAAACTCTACAATAAAAAAATAAGCAAATGATGAAAAAATCAATATCTGAATGAGAACAACATTAACAAAGAAACCACTGATGTGCCAGAAGAAACCAGAGGAGAGAAAGACAGCGTGAGAGCAGCAGGGTGTAAAGGCATCCTTCTCCACAACAGGCCTCAAGGAGAAAAAAAAAGTCTATGTTCACCTTGCTCCTATTATGCTTTGAATGTTGCCAACAAAGTTGCGATCATCTAAACTGAGTCCAGGGGCACCTGGGTGGCTCAGTTGGTTGAGCATCTACCTTCAGCTTAGGTCATGATCTCAGAGTCCTGGGATCAAGCCCCACATTGGGCAGGCGGGCGGGGGGGCGGGGATATGTCATCACTGCTCAGTGAGGAGTCAGCTTCTCCCCCTGCTCATGTTCTCTCTCCTTTTCTCTCAAATAAGATTTAAAAAAAAAAAAAAAAAAAAAACCCTACAACAAAACAAAAACAAAAACGGAGTCCAGCTAGCTAATTCTAAATATAAATATTTTCAGGATCAGTTGGCTGGTTCAGTCAATGGAGCATGTAACTCTTGATCATTGGGTCATGAGTCTGAGCCTCATGCTGGGTGTAGAGATTTTTTTTTAATTAATTAATTTTCACAATAATTGGAAAATAGGCAAAAGTCACAAATAGACATTTGCTCAAAAGATAAGACATATGACCTAAAAAGGATATATAAACAGCAAATACATAAAAAGATAAAAGATGGTCAACATCATTAGCCATTAGGCAAATACAAATTAAAATCACAATAGGGGTGCCTGGGTGGCTCAGTCAGTTAAGCATCTCCCTTTGGCTCAGGTCACAATCCCAAGGTCCTGGGATCAAGCCCCACATTACATTCCCCATTCAGCGGAGAATTTGCTTCTCCCACTCCCTCTGCTGATTTCCCCTGCTTGTGCATGCATGCTCACTCACTCTCTGTCAAAATAAATTTTTTTGAAGATTTATTTATTTATTTATTCAGAGAGAGAGGCAGAGACACAGGCAGAGGGAGGAGCAGGTTCCACGCAGGGAGCCCGACGCGAGATCCCGGGTCTCCAGGATCACACCCCGGGGCCGAAGGTGGCACTAAACCACTGCGCCACCGGGGCTGCCCAAAATAATTGGCTTTTTTTTAAATCACAATATGGTATCACTATATGCCTACCAAAACTACTAAATAAAAAGAATGACCAAAAAAAAAAAAAAAGTGAAAATGCCACATGCTAGCAACGATGCCAAAAAACTGGCTTGCTCAGACTTCTAATGGAAATGGAAATGGTACAGTCACTCCGGAAAACACTTTAGGAATTTTTTTCCTTAAGATTTTATTTACCCACCATTTGCTTCAACGTGGATGGAACTGGAGGGTATTATGCTGAGTGAAGTAAGTCAGTTGGAGAAGGACAAACATTATATGTTCTCATTCATTTGGGGAATATAAATAATAGTGAAAGGGAATATAAGGGAAGGGAGAAGAAATGTGTGGGAAATATCAGAAAGGGAGACAGAACATGAAGACTCCTAACTCTGGGAAACGAACTAGGGGTGGTGAAAGGGGAGGAGGGCGGGGGGTGGGGGAGAATTGGTGACGGGCACTGAGGGGGGCACTTGACGGGATGAGCACTGGGTGTTACTCTGTATGTTGGTAAATTGAACACCAATAAAAAATAAATTTATTATTAAAAATAAATAAAGGGCAGCAAAACAGAAAAAAAAAGATTTTATTTGACAGAAAGAGAGAGTACACAAGCAAGCGGAGAGGCAGAGGGAGAAGTAGGCTCACCACTGAGCTGAGAGCCCAAAGCAGGGCTCAAACCCAAGGGCCTGAGATCATGACCTGAACCAAAGGCAGACACTTAACCGACTGAGCTGCGTAGGCACCTCGGCAATTTCTTCTAAGAAACTACACATGCAGCCCTCATACAACTCAGCAATTGCACAAATGGACATTCATCCCAGAGAAATGGAGACCTATGTTCACACAGAAATCTACACAAGAGTAGTTTAATCAGCTTTATTCATGATAGCCCCAAACCAGAAATACCTGAAGTATCTTGCATCAGATGAATAATTAAACAAACTGTGGTATACCCATAACATAAAACACTAAGAAAAAGCAACGGAGCTACTGATACACATTCAACAAACTGGATGAATCTCCAAAGAATCTTGTTACATGAGGGAAAAAAAAAACAATCTCAAAAAGTTACATGTTCTTTGCTTCCATTTATATAGCATCCCTGAAATGGCAAAATTACAGAACTGGTTGATACATCAGTGCTTGCCAGGAACTAAGCCTGGAAGGAATTAGTAATGAAGTAGGTATAGCTATAAAAAAGGTACTATGGAAAAAAAAAAAAGGCACCATGAGTGATCCTTCTGATGGAATTATTCTGTTAACCATATCAAATTCAATAACCTGATGCTGATATTATCCTGTAACTTAAAAATACCAACATAGGGGAAACTGAGTAGATGGTATACGAACTCTCTTTGTATTATTTTTTACACCTGCATGTGACTCTATATTTGACTCAAAATAAATCTAAAAAAAAAAAAATTAAGCCTTTTATTTACTCATGAGAGACAGAGAGAGAGAGAGAGGCAGAGGGAGAAGTAGGCTCCATACAGGAAGCAGGACTTGATCCTGGGACTCGAGAATCATGATCCAAACCAAAGGCAGACGCCCAATCACTGAGCCACCCAGGCGTCCCAAAAGATTAAAAAAATAACAACAACAACAACTATAAATGAACAATCTTAATAGGAAATTAAAACAATTGCATTTATCAGGGGGCCTAGGTGGCTCAGTCAGTCAAGCATCCAACTCTTGATCTCAGCTCAGGTCTTATCTCAGGGTTGTGAGTTTAAGCCCCATACTAGGGTTCACACTGCGTGCGGAGTCTTCTAAAAAATAAATAAATAACTGCATGTATAACAGCATCAAAAAAAGAAATTTTAGGAATACACTTATGCAGGGGCACTAGGCTGGCTCACTGTTGAGCGTCTGCCTGTGATTCTAGAGTCCTGGGGTCGAGTCCTGCATCCAGCTCCTCACGGGGAGCCTGCTTCTCCCTCTGCTTATGTCTCTGCCTCTCTGTGTCTCTCATGAATAAATAAATATAATCTTTAAAACAAAAACAAGGAATACACTTATCCAAAGAAGCAAAGAACTTGTACACTGAAAACTACAAAATGTGGCTGAAACAAAATTGGCAAAAAAGGTGCTCAGCATCACTACAGGTAGAAAGAAATCAAAACCACAAGGAGATACCACTTCACACTAATAGCATGGCTATAATTTCGAAGAGAAAAGAAACCAAAAATAAGAGTTGGAGAAGATGTGGAGAAACTGGAACCCTCGTGTATTGCTGATAGGAATGTAAAATAGTGCAGCCACTGTGAAAAATATTTTGGCACTTCCTCAAAAAGTGGAACACATGGGCAGCCGGGGTGGCTCTGCAGTTAAGCACTGCCTTCAGCCCAGGGCCTGATCCTGGAGACCCAGGATTGAGTCCCACACATCAAGCTCCCTGCTTCTCCCTCTGCCTGTGTCTCTGCCTCTCTCTCTCTCTCTCTCTCAATCTCTGTGTCTCTCATGAATAAATAAATAATTTTTTTTTTTAAAAAAGTGGAGGGCAGCCCGGGTGGCTCAGCAGTTTAGCGCCGCCTTCCACCCAGGGCCTGATCTTGGAGACCCGGGATCGAGTCCAACGTCAGGCTCCCTGCATGGAGCCTGGTTCTCCCTCTGCCTGTGTCTCTGCCTCTCTCTCTCTCTCTCTCTCTCTCTCTCTCTCTCTCTCTCTATGTGTGTCTCTCATGAATAAATAAATAAAATCTCTACCAAAAAAAAAAAAAACTTTTTTTAAAGTGGAACACAATATTATCATATGACCTAGCAATTTCAACCCCAATATGTTACCAAAAAAAAAAGAGGACTCAAAAAGGTACTTATACACCAATGTTCATAGCAGCATTATTCACAATCGTCAAAAGGTTAAAAACAATCCAAGTCCATCAATAAATAAATTCACAAAGTGTATATATTTACAATGGAACACTATACAGTCATAAAAAGAAAGTAAATTCTGACACAACTACAACATGAAAGAACATTAAAACATTAAGCTAAGTGAAATAAGCTAGATACAAATGAAAATATTTTATGATCTCACTTATATGAGATATCTATAGTAAACAAATTCATAAAGGTAGAAAGTAGAACAGAAGTTACCAGGGATTAGAGAAAGGATAGAAAAGAGACTTATTGGGGGAGTCTCTAGGTGGCTCAGTGGTTTAGCACCTGCCTTTGGCCCAGGGCATGATCCTGGAGACCCAGGATTGAGTCCAACATCAGGCTCCCCGCATGGAGCCTGCTTCTCCCTCTACCTGTATCTCTGCCTCTCTCTCTCTCTCTCTCTGTGTGTGTGTGTGTGTCTTTCATGAATAAACAAAATCTTAAAAAAGAGAGAGTTATTGTTTAATGGGTACAGAGTTCTGTTTGATGATGATGAAAATAGATACTGGTGGTTACACAACACTGAATATTCTTAATGCCACTGAGTAGCATACTCAAAAATAGTTAAAATGGTAGATTTTATGTAATAATTGTAAATTATCATATTCACAGATTAAAAGATTCATAAATGTAAGATGTCGCAAGGTGATTTATAAAATCAATGCAAAACTAATCAAAACAGGGATCCCTGGGTGGCGCAGCGGTTTGGTGCCTGCCTTTGGCCCAGGGCGCGATCCTGGAGACCCGGGATCGAATCCCACATCGGGCTCCCGGTGCATGGAGCCTGCTTCTCCCTCTGCCTATGTCTCTGCCTCTCTCTCTCTCTCTGTGACTATCATAAATAAATAAAAATTTAAAAAAAGAAAAAAAAACTAATCAAAACACTGAAAGGATTTGTTATGGAACAATAGGATTCTGAATGACAATCAAATACAAAAAGCAGTAAGCAAAATGTAATAAAATAAAGTAGATGAAGAAGAAGAGACGTGGGAAGGACTAATTTTATCTGATATCAGTTATTGATCATCTGACTCTTGCTGTTGGTTCAGGTCA